GATAGGCTGCGCTCACACTGCCAATGCTAATGCCCTAATGCTCAAATTCCTCAATTTTTTTTGAAATGCGATTGTTTTGCGCGGTCGTTCACATTTCCAAAAATATGTGACTCGTGTTTGATCTACTTTGTGAACTAAAATGCATGAAGGGGAGTGTTGGCCTATTGCAGGGGTAACCAATTAAAAATCAATGGAGTCCGAATAAATAAAATCAACAACCAGTAAAGTTTGGAGACATATTTAAATATAATCCGTTACTTTAAACAGCATTTAACATTGTAATAAAATGAGGTGTTTATGGATCCATGTTATACATTGAATTTTTAAATAAATAAATATAAAAACATGTTACAGTTCATCAGATCATCCAGTCAAATTGATTCATAGTTTTCTATCTAAGAAAAACCAGTTGATTGCATTGACTCATTGACTCGAAAGCAATCCCTCACACTTAGCATGCTTGTAGCGACAGTGGAGAGGAAAAACTCCCTTTTAACAGGAAGAAACCTCCGCCATGGATGCGACCTTTGTTGAGTATTGATGACGTTCAGGTACAGATACAAGCTGTATTTGAAAAGATAAAATACGTATTGGATTCAGGACCACAGAGCCAAGGGGAATGGGCAGCGTTGGAAATAATTGGATCTGTGTTGTTCAGACTGTCATGAAAAGATCAGATCCAGGTCACATATGGGCAAATTAATGGGATTTGGGTCACTTCAGGCTGCTCTCAAACAGAGAGCAATATTTAAGGTACTTATTACCCATTTCTCAAATTTAAACAAAAGTGGATAGAAGCAAAGTCCAGGAGGATATAAACATGATCTCCCTGCCTTTTATTCATTTCTAAACTTGTTAACCAAACACTAAATACAAATTTGCAACCTCTCCAAGCTAAACGCTTTCAAGCTGATTGACTGCCAATTTACAAGAAAGGGTAGCATGTTTCTCTTCGAACCACAATTATCATGGAAAACATCAAGAAACTATCGAAAGCAAAGTATTACTGTGACTCACAAAGCAGGCCGATTCAGGATGAAATGAATAGAAGCTGCTTTTACTGAAGGGTGTTAAATATTTTTAAATAGTTTAATATACAGTCGAGCTTTATGATGAGAAAATGTTGCTTTTCACTTGTCTGGTGCATGCTGATCCATTGGAAAAAAGTATATCTTTGAGACCAAAATGCACTTGTTCTTCATCACTTATACTCTGCTTGAATTTGGTCTCTATGGTAACCAACTGATGGAATGGCCAATCAGTGATGGCAGTTGCTACTTTTTCAGTTACCGCTTTGCTTTCAACACCAGATTTGATCACAGCATCTGGACCGAAGCTTCAAGGAAGGTGCCGTTTCTCAATATGTGTACTTGTGCGTTCTCGCGTACTCATGAAACGTCATCAGCCTCAGCCCTCGTACTGTTCCAATTCACAAGATCAAGAAGACCGAGAACGGACAAAGTCCCAAAATGTTGTTCTCGCCCCTCCTTCTTTACCAAGCATGCATCAGAGCGGACTTGACTATACTCAAGATTGACAGTTGTCCCAGCATGCACTGCAGCAGCAACACCTTTCAATGGAGCACTCACAGAGCTCAGAGTATTAAGTTAAAAGTTCTCTTTTCTGTTGCCATTGTTCAATAAAAGCATGTTTTAAAGATAATTTGAGGCGAGAACATTCTACTTTTAAGCATCACTATATGGCCTATTTACATATTTAATGTGTAATTTAAAAAAAATGTCTGATGTTGAGAGGACCGCAGCAACCAGCGGCCCTCTGAGGCTAATGGCAGCCAGGGCTAACGTTAGCCCGTCTGCAGTAGCCCTCTCTCTGCATAGCCGTGTGTGAAGTACCGCTGGCTCTGATGGAGATTTTTTTTTTTTTTGGCAAAATGTTCATTTTATTTGTGTTTATCTGTATGTGTTCACTATTATTCCCCCACTAAATGAAAAAAGTAAGAATTTATTTTTAGACTATTAATAACAGGAGGTGAAATGCAGCTCCAGTAGAGCCGAGCGTGTGGTGATGTTACGAGTATGCTTCTGTTCCAGTTGACCCATATTTATGCTGCGTGCTCCCGTTCTCCCCAAGTCCAGACTTTACTGTGTTCTTCTCAAGAACATACTTGGCGAGGACACGAGTCCGTACTCACGTTCTTGTGAATTGAGGAACGGCCAAGTTGCCTGAACTGAAGGAAGGATGTTAGCTATCAGCATCGCCGACGTCCAACCAGATCCAGAGATGGTGTTTTGGAGTAGCCTCATGAGACCATCCTGATCTCGCGAGCTTTCAAGATTTCACTCGCAGATCAGTCTGGAGACTCAACGTTGAAGAAAATTTGAAGCCGTTCACCAAACGAACAACCAATCAGCGTTGGCTTTGAGGCGGGTTGAGGTGTGACGCAACGAGAAGCGCGACAGTTCAGTCTAAAGAACATGGCAGCTTCAGCCGATGAAACTAGCGTTAGCGTGGCTATCGAGCAAGTTTTATCGGAATTACAGATTATTTCTTCACTGAAAGAAGAGCAAAGCATTGCTCTGGAGGCTTTTCTCAGAGGAAAAGATGTTTTTGCTCTTCTCCTGACTGGTTTCGGCAAGAGTTTGATCTATCAATTGGCTCCTCTTCGTCGTCGCTCTGTTACGTCATATGCTTCGTTGATCTGATTGGTTTATTTGGCCCGTCTATTACCAACATAGGCCAATCAGCTAACCAATATTTTCGCCCCTTCCCAAAATTACTTCAACAGAAGGTTTCCAGATGGATATGCGGAGCAAATCCATCTGGCGGAGTCAGGTTAGCTTTGGAGCAACTCAAACCAAAAAACACAGCAGTCTGTCAAGCCATCTCCCCACTTAACAGTTGATTACATTTTTTTTTTTTCAAAGATACGGTCTTTTTTATGTTATTAACTAGTGTTGCGCCGATGCCATTTTTTGGCCCCGATACCGATACCTGGCTGTGCAGTATTGGCCAATACTGATACCATCTGTTTGAAATTGATTTGCGTCTATATATGAAGAACTGCATACTGCTTGGATGTAAAATAATTGCCATCATGGCTTTGTCAAGCTGCTGCCTACCTTTGTGAAGCAGGAAAAAGACAAAAACAAATTGAATCCAGTAGAACTTTTTATTGCCTACCTGGAATGGGTGACAATAGTTGGCTCTCAAAATGGTATCGGTGCCCTATTTGTCGGTACTCGCCGACACTGTTACCACTATTTTAGTACAGTATTGTGGCCCTGTCTGATACTGGTATAGGTGCAACACTTATTACCATTACAATTTGAATGAAACCAACATTAAATCAGAGTTTGAATAGTCTATGACCCCAAAGTGACCTGCAAGCCCCTAAGATGGAGTAATGTTATACACATTATATGTGTTAAGAGAAGTAAATAGACACGTTAGCCTGTATCGTTTTTAAAGTTGTCCACATACATGCAAACTAAATTATGGCTAGGTAAATCAATTGTATCTCCTGTATTACTTCTAAATGCTGTGGCGATGCGACTCTTTATTTTGAAGGACACCAGCTTTGCTAATGAGTAGGAGTATTCGGTGATGGGCGCGGATTAGGGTTTGTGAGCACAAAAGGTGAAAAATAAAAGGTGTGCAGACATATAGGCAAACCTGCGTAAATGTGTGTGGGTATAAATCATATGCGCATGTTATGAAGTGGGATGTCCTGTCTTGATGACACTTAGCCCTAAAACCTGCAGCGCCGCTCTTATGTAAAAGGAAAAAAGTGCTTTTCTGCATTTAGAGAAACACAAGACAAACAACTAAAATCACAGGTAAGTGTGTCTTGAGTCTTTTAACAGCTATGCTCAGCTTAAGTTCGTAGGGAAGCGGCTGTTCCAACCATCGCATTTCCGAATTCTCCCGAGTGGTGCAAGACTTTACACGAGTGAATAAAGTGAATGTGATTGGTTGATTATCAAGGGGGCGGGATTGTTGAGGCGGAAGATTTGCTAGCAAGTTAGGTTGTGGCCGGTTTGTCGGAAGCATCTTGCTAACCAGTTAGCAACTTAGTGCAACAATGGGAAATTCCATTGGGACCATGTAGCACTAAATTGGTGACTTAGCAACGACACTGTCAAGGAACGCTATGGACAGCGGAAACATGCAAGAGGAGGAGAGTTTAGTGTCGGAGGTCGTGGATGACTCTCCTCCGTCATCCATTTTCTTATTTAGAGGAGGAAAGCGGGGACGACCGAATTTAGGTGTTCAGGCTGACGTAGAACTAACTGGCCTGCATAAGATAATGAAATTTTAACACAGGATTTTTTTTTTAAATAGGAATTTTCTAAATTTTGAGAAAATATGGTCTGATAAAAAGTACATTTATAAACACGTTAAAGCCAGAATGATTTGACATTCAAATATGGCTCCCCTACGACTTTAAATAACTAAAAGGGTAATTTTGACAGTCAGACACACAGTAAACCTGGTGCTGTGCTGGCTGGCTACTCTTCCCATACATGATCCATCTCCATCAGCATCTGCATTGTTTCACCCACTCATCTGTGGTGTGGATGCTGGTGGGAAGGTAGAGATAGCCCACACAGTTTGGAGTAGACACAGCAATCACACAAATAATAATAATTAAAAAAAAAACACTGACTATGACACACACTCCCAGTTTAACTCTGAATCTGCTAGGAGGGGGAAAAAAAGTCTGAATGCAACTTCTGCATATTAAAATGAGAGACAGGGCGGATATTTCAGACACTACAAGCATGCGTGGGATATATTGACATGTGATGCATGTTGCAACAAAAGGTAAATGGTTTCCAATTAAGCAAACTATAAGTGTCTCCCTCCACCCTATAGATAATAATTAAGTGCGCTAAGGTTGAATGAAATTCTCCATATATGACATGGAAACCAAGCACCGCCTATACAGCAATAAATAAAGAAAGATCATATGAAAATAGAATATTAAAATAAGAGCATGCATAGGTTTTGATCGCTCCTTTCTTTATTTTTGGTCTTACCTGGTCGCTGGTTGCCAGCTCCTTCTCCAGCTGACGGTGCTTGTTGTGCCACACCAGATAGTGGACAGGATAACGACTCTCCTCCAGAGTTTTCTTTGCAGAAATCATCCTCTCATCATACTTTCCTCCTCCTCCTTTCCTCTGGTTTTCCCCCACAGCGGATCGCAGAATACTTAGTGGTAATATTACCCCTGTTTAGTCGTGCCAACAATCCTTTATCGACGGTGATGCCCAAAAGGCGTGTAGCCTTACGCGTCAGGAGTGAGCGGACCCCCCCTTTGGCATGTCGCCTTGGAATAAAGTGAAATGTCTTTAAACAATAATAAAAAAAAGGAGATGAAGCTCCTGTCTTGATTGTCTGAGCAGATTAAAACAATGCGCCTTGAGTTCTTCTCCACTCCTTGCCTTCCTCTCTTTCTCTCTCTCTTCCTTCTATCCTCTCCTCCCATCCGGTGCTGCTGACTGAGAAGCATGCACTGACAAGCCGCAATAAAAAATTTGCTCACACCCAGCCAATCAGCTGTCGGGGATGTATTTATAAAAATAAAAAAAGACAAACCCAAAAGAAAAAAAAAAAAAAAAAAAAAAAAATATATATATATATATATATATATATATATATATATATATATATATAAATATACATGCATGTATATATATATATATATATGTGTGTGTGTATATATATATATATATATATATATATATATATATATATATATATATATATATATATATATATATTTATATATACAGATATACATACATACATATACATATATACAAATATACATACATACATATACATATATACACATATATATACATACACACACGCATATATACACATATATGTATATATGTGTATATATATGTATATGTATGTATATATATATACGTATATATATATATATATACATACACACACACATATATACACATATATACACATATATGTATATATGTGTATATATATATGTATATGTATGTATATATATGTGTATATATGTATATGTATGCATGTATGTATATCTGTATATATAAATATATATGTATATGTCTGTATGTATGTATATATGTGTATATTTATATGTGTATATGTATATATATACATATATACACGTATAAATGTGTATATATATGTAAATCTTATTCATGTAAATCTTCATATTAGCTAATCAAATATATTCATATATGTACATATATACATATGTATATTTATATAAACATTTAATATATATATATATAAATCTCAAGATTTAAATCTCAAGATTTACATATGCGAATATTTTTCCTTTAATTTTTATCATGTAAAGTTCTGTTCAATTAATTACAAAAGCAACGAGCGCACATTGTATATTTTATTTACTATTTATACAGAAGTATCCTATATTTGTCAAGTTTGAAAAGGCATGAAAAAATAAAACGAGGCAAATTTCTAAACTTTTCTTTTCTTAGTTATTTTTTGGTTTCAAAAATAGCTAGCTCATCTGCAATATTTATCTGGGGCTACTTAATGTTTGACATATATTTTGGGTTAGAGGTCTATCCAGCCCACCCTACTGACGCGCCCTGTTTCCCTCTGGATGTTGAGTGCGGTATGGCAAGCCGTAAGAGTAAATAATACTCTTTTAGGAAACACTTCTACTTATGCGTGACACCCTTCTACTTATTTTAGGCTCTGTTGCAAACCATTGATACTTTGGGAAACAACATTTCTGGTTAGTGTTTTATTTTTTTATCTGCTCATCCATGAATAGAATGACTTAACAACAATGTTAAGTAATTGTCAGAAAATTAATTGGTAGAAAAACTCAAACGCTATTATTGCCTCACATGTATTTAGTGACCCTCCACACTATTAGTGGTTCAGATTTGTTTTTTGTGGAGGACCTTTCTGAAGCAATATTTCCCCGGCCATTCCATACATCTGGGCAAAGTCCTGTAGCTAAATGTTAAAGACACTTAAAGCTTTTCATTGATGGTATATATGAAGGAATGTGGCTTTGGTACATTTCTCTTCCTTATGCAGGAAAATGGCATCTATCGGTGAAAGTCCATTTTATAGGGGGAGTAAGTACATAATACTTTTTATTGAGCTAATTTTTGCTTGAAATGTGTGCATAGTTTGTATAAGACTCTACAACATGTTAAGACACCATCTTAGCCGTATTTTAAAAATTTTGTCATGTTTTTTTTTTTTTTAAATGAAGGAATGATTCCTCAGAAGCATAAATATTTTTATCCAAAAAACTTTTTGAAATAAATTTTAACTCCATTATTAAGATATAATAAAAGATAAGATAGACTTTATTTATCTCACAACAGAGGAAATTCTCTAAGGAACAACAGGAGGTGGGACAGAAGGAAAATGTGCATTGTGCACAAATTCAGGCTAAATATATATATATATATATATATATATATATATATATATATATATATATATATATATATATATATATATATATATATATATATATATATATATATATTTTTATAATAGGTAATAAATAAAGGAAATTAACAGGAAAATGTTGAAAACATTGCAATAACACCGGATTGATTCACCTAAACTTTCTTTTTTTCAGCAGGTTTCTGTTCTGCAGCAGAAAAGATCCATTCACACAAGGATCATTCACTAAGAAACCAGCCTTCAAACTCTCATAAAATATACATGAAATCAATGATTACAGGTGAAACAATCCAACAGAAAAAGTCTGTATGTGTTTTAGAATAGTGACTCAGAGCTGATTGATCGAATGCTCTGAGGAACTTCATCCACCACATTTGTATAGATTTACACTGCAAAAAGTTTCAATCTCAAAAGTCTTTTCTTTCTTAAAATTAATGCATTTTTTCTTGAATTAAGGAGGTAAGTGAGACATTTTGCCAATGAAACAAGGCAATTTACATTTAGTTTAAGAAAAAACAATTGTATTCTCATATTTCAAGTGCATATTATCTAATTATCTTATTTTAAGAGTAAAAATTACGGAAGAGGATTAGGGCCACTGGAAAAAAAAATGTTAACTGATTTTTATTTTTTTATTTTATATCAGTATAGTATGGGAAAAAAGTCAGAATTATGACTTTTTTCCCATATTAAACTGAAATAAAATTAAAAAATCAGTTAACTTTTTTTTTTTCAGTGGCCCTAATCCTCTTCCGTAAAAGATACTCATTCCATTGGCAAATCATGTTATTTATCTGCTCAAATGAAGGGTAAATACACTTAAATTAAGACATTTTAACTTTTTTAAGATCATTTTTGCAGTGTAGAACAACGACTTCTGTGTTTTTATATGAAGGGACTTCAAACTGTTCTGTGTGTTTTGAGTTGGTACAATGCCCATCAGAGCTGGTGAGAAGTTCTAGTTTTTTAACTGACAATAGAACCTGATGCCATGGCTGCTGACATTGTTGTTAAAAGACAGAGGTTTGATGTTGACTAAACAGTGATGTAGGAGACATAAATGGTTATGTGGTGTATGGTGTGTCTCGGAGGTGGAGACTCAAAGGGAGGTGGATGTGCACCAAGGAAGTAGGTGTGTATAAGTGCGCACTCACCTGTCTCACTGATGAGAAGAGTAAGGGTGGGGCTGCCGTAATTTTGTTTGACCGCTTCATTTCACTACGTTTCATATTATTTTGTTTCAGTATTCATTCGTTTCCTATATGAATTAACGGATCTAACATTGTTTGCCACAATCATCTCTGCTGCGCTGTCATTAACTCATGCTGGTGCTAATAAACAAAACAAAAGCATCCTGGATTCCAGCGTATCTGTAACAATATAAACATTTAAATGCGTGACAAATAGGGCAAGAAAGGAGGACCCAACTCAAACTCTTAGCTGCCTATAGGATCTTTAAGGAAGCCGCTATAAGTGATGAGTCCAGGCTGGAAGTTTACAGTAGATCTTAAATGTTGTGTTGTACACTCATGCCACAAGTTCTAGATCATTGGTGGTGAGAGACCAAACAGGCAAACAGTAAATGAGAGACGAAATGAAAACAGCATGAGTATAGGTGGATGAAACAAGGGCTGTTAACAAATGTCTGATTTTAGTGGTAGGCACAGCTTGTTTGTTGTAGTTTCCTTTTCAGACAAGAAATGTAAAAGAGACGAGGGTCAAGGAGCACACTGATATACTTATAACTTGCACTGAAAAAAAAGATCTAGAAATAAATAAAAATGTCTTAAATTAAGTGTATTTACCCTTAATTTGAGTAGGTAAATGTGATGGTTTGCCAATGGAATGTGTGTTTGTACTCTTAGAATAAGATAATTAGATAATAAGCAATTGAAATAAGACAATGCAATAGTATTTTCTTATTTTGAATGTAAATTGTCTTGTTCCATTGGCAAAATGTCTCTTTTACCTCCTCAATCCAAGAACAAATGCATTTATTTTAAGAAAAAAATGACTTATCTAGATTTTGATTTTTTCCAGTGTGTCATAAGAGGTTTGTGATTGATAAACATAACTGAGATGGACATTTATAAATCCTTCTTGGGAGAATAAACAGACAGATATTCCGTCTTTTAAGGTTGATAATGAGGTCCTGAATCCTAAGGCAGGAACCTCTGCTCTTACAGTTCAGTCCATGCCCAGAGGACGAGGTTGGTTCCAGCCTGTTGCCTGCCAACAAGACGCGGGGGGCGCCGCCCAGAGAGTCCCAGTCGCTGAAGTCCCGGAGGTCGGAGGAAAGGCAGGGGATCAGAACCGAGCAGAAGAATGAAGGCAGGATAATTCAGAGGGTGAGACCAAAGCCGGTGTGGAGGATGTGCTCAGGAGTGAGAGCCGGGAGATCAGAGACCCAAAGATGTACCGAAGGGAAATCAGGACGGTTCCAGGTTTAGCTAACCGAGAGAATCTAGCGGGAGTCGGAGGGCAGGACAGGCAAACAGATCAGAACAGGGACGGCCAGGCTCAGAGGTCCAGAGACAGAACGGATAAGGCAATCAGAAACACTCAGATACCCTAGAGAACTCTCACCAAAGGCTTGAATAATCTAGCACTGATGACTGGTAGAAGGCTGGTTAAATAAAGGCTGAAGCAGGTGCAGAAGATGAACGGTAATAAGAACTGGGCGGGGCTATGCAAATGGAGAAACGAGTAATCAATCCAGACATCAGCGCCAAAATCATGACAGAGAATCACTGATCAGGTGTTTTTTTTTACGAACGTTGATAACCTTATTGTACAAGGTTTTCTCTAATAATTTTAATATTGTTCAGAGTACTGTTATTGTAGCCTGACGTAGTCCTACTCAATTCTAGTCAGAATATGAGTCTGATACTGCTCCATAGAGCTGTGATTATGGGGCGTGTTTTGAACGAACCAGGAAAAAAAATGCCTCTGCACTCAATCGGATAGACCTACAACCAATAAGAGCAACGGAGTGCGTGACGTATGTTAAGCGACGCATAGTTGTTGTCAACAAAAATCAAAGCGT